CGACATGTGCAAGAATCGTGTCAAAATAAAAAGAGCGGGGGAAAGAGATTTTGATTACACACCATCGTTGGAAAATGACCATGAGGAAAAGTTTGGCAAATACAAATTCATAGAGTATAATAACTCATTTGAAATCATTCACTACAAATTAATGTACATATTGCTGCATCTAAATAAAAAAAAGAAAAACAAAACAAAGTATTCATCCAGTGATTTAAAAAAAGACATTGCTATTTTTTTCTTTGAAACGCCAACCAGAGATATATTATTGTGTAACATTTAACAGGTAAGGAAAAAGTAAGGTGGATTTGACCAGGACTGTAACTTGCCCTGCTGGACTGTCCCTACTAGACCCTTGACAGGTGTTTTCCCAATTTAGCTAAACACAAGCCATCAAAGCAGTTTAATCTACCAGGTATAATTATATCTTGAAATGTTGTCATTCCAAATCCTATTCCTATCAATGCTTCAAAAATTCTAACATTTTCAATGTGTTTTATTTAGCTGAGCACAAAAATTTGATATACTATGTCGCAAAATCTTAGGTCTGAATTTAGCCTTCTGACTGAGACGCTAAATAAATCTACTGTCCTGAATCATATTGGTTCTTGGCTATAAGAAAGGTAAATTTGGTTCCTGCCATAATATTAGTTCCAGACATCTACTTAACATTAAAACTTAAGATGTTGAATATTTACAAACATTTTTTTTTCTGATTTGGTTTTTTTAAGCAAAATCTGAAGGCTGATAAATTATACATGTATACAATACTGTGTAATACATTTCATAACAAATTTCCCACAAATTTTTACATACATGTCTTAACCCTCCCTTTTTTAACAGATTACAAAAATAATAAATCAATTTGAATTTATCTGTTATAATGATAACTTAATTTACATATATTTAACTCCTGAAAATATTTCCTGCAATGAAATTGACCCCCCCCCCCCCCCTCTATTTCACTGCCTTTTTTTGTTTTATTGAGATAGAATTAAAAATCTGAGAAAAAGTTTAGAATGTATTTAACATAAAAGTGTAAAGTGTAAAAAAGGACAAAGATACAAAGTAGTAAAAATACTAAATAATAATAGTGTGTACCATAGGTCACTGTTGTTGGGCACGGTTCTTTTAATGAATATATAACAGTCAGGTAATTTATATTCATGTAACAAATATTCAATAAAACAAAGCAATTAGATTGCCCAGAGACACAGTGAGAAATTATTTTATAAAAACGTCAGAATACTGTAGCATGTTTTTAACAGAATCAATAACCAGATTCAATGTTATTGTTTTGATACTTTCAGACCTGAACCAATATTACAGCAAAATCCAGAACCAAAATTGTGTTTTCTTGGGTTCCGGCTGACTGGCTGGACTGCGAAATACCTGGAGCATATATTATGCATCTTTTTCAGCACCTAGTCAGACACACAAGGTACACTGGTAAGACTCATGATGCTGTATAAAAATAAATGAAAAAAAAAATGAATTAATTTAAGTACTATTCCACGTAAGAATCAAGCAGGAGGTGGCACATAAGGGGTTTCCATTTTTTTTAAAATTTGCATCCTGGTAGAGCATGCTAAATACTGTAGATTGGCAAATAATCACGATGGTTTTAATTTCACTATGTTTGCGATTCATCATTTTCCCGCGAAATTAAACCTAAAACGTTTGAATGCTTATACGAAATCTAAATCAATTTCTTGCTGCGTGAAATTAAAACAATTGCGATTGATACGTTTTGAGAAATTGTGAAATTTAAACACCGTGGAATTAAAACGACTTACAGTAACTTCATAAAATAAAATATTTTTTAACAAATCAGTGTGTGGTTTCCATGGCAACAGAAACAGAGTTTACAGCATAATATGGCTTAAATTTCTACTAAAAATTCGCAAAATTGCCAATATTCAAGTTTAAATAAAAAGAAAATTAGAAAAGAAAACACAAGTACATTTATTGGCCATTCAAATTCAGTACAACTACTTATAAATAAATAAAAATATTTTTATGTCCAGTAAGATGTTTTAATTTTAAATTGAAAAGGGGAGATAATCCAAATTTGCAAAAACTTGAAAATTTCAATTTTTTGAGGAATTTTGTCTATTAAAAAATATAAAAACCCAACAGCCAAATCAAAAGACAGTGCTATTTTCCTAGAAATCACACCCTGTCGCTTATAAAAGTATAAAAACAGTTTTGCGCAAATTATTATTTATATCCGAAAATTATGGATGAGTTTCATACAAAAAAGAGGAATATCACTATTTTGTCAGTCATAATATGCCGTAGATCTATACAAGTGAAATAAATTTGACATTTCAAAACAATTTCTTTTTATTTTCAACTCAAAAAAAAAGAAAGAAAGAAAGAAAAAAGAAAAAAAGAAAAAAGCAGTACAAGTACCTTTTTTTTTTTAAAACTTATCAATTATTTCCATGTCCAATAAAACTTTCTAATTTTAAACTGAAAAAGGGAGATAATCCAAATTTGCAAAAACATTTAATTACCGATATTTTGAGGATTTTAAGCTTTGGAAAAGTATAAGATCCAAACAGCCAACTCTAAAGGCTATGCTATTTTCATAGACAACATACCCTATGGTTAAAAAAAAAACATATTTGTGTAAATTATTATTAATATCTGAAAAATATGGATAGGTTTAAACAGAAAAGAGCAATTTCACTATTTTTGTTATTTAACATCTTATTGATCTCAAGAAAACGTTATTTTGTTGGAGTCTTGTGTTCTAAATGAGCTAGAAGCATAACACATATACAGGTAAGTGGTTTCATTCAGCTAGTAAACAAGAGCTCTTCATCCGTGTAATTAAAATAAACTTACTATAAATAATAAACCTATCTACATTAGATGCTAATATTCTTTAGAATCGGGTTCTTGAAGTATTCTGTGCTTTATTTCCAAATTATTTACTGACAACTTTCCCTTTTATTTCGTTTGTTTTCAAATTTTGATAAACCAGTCTACTTAACAGGGAAAAAAAGATAAAATTTTCTCCTTATCATATAAAAACAAACAATAAAGTTAGGAAATAAACAAAACTTTAAACACAGACTATTCACAGCCATTAAGTACACGCCTTTTACATTCACCTTGTGTGTTTACAAATATGTAACCCCTCCCTCGATAGCGCTTGGCAAAGGAGGTCACCGGGGATCAATCGGCGTGTGAACCAGCGACCTGAGGTCATACACAAAACAAACCATAGAATGACCATTCCAAATGCATTTTTTAAACTAAGTGATGAGTGGATAAAAATGTTGGATCTTTCAGATTATTTCATAATATCTTTGATTAAGTCGCTAGTATATTTTAATTTATAATTTATTCGCTGAAATACAAGAAAGTTGCAAATTTATTTTTGTAAACATTGTATTTCTCGATATCGAGATAATTGCGCTTTGTGGAAAATTACTTTAAAATCATTTCGAATCTTTCGTATGATTTCGTCTTACTGTGATAAACAGTAAGACATTTTAATCAGCTAGTCTTAACTGACTTCAAATTCAATGCATTTCGAATGCTGAAAAGACCACTTTGTTCGTGTATTAAAGAAACAGTCTATTTATCTCTCTAATGTTATTATTTAACGAGTTGCTATTTCTTTCATGAACATTAAACAGCATGTATATAATTATCACGATAATTGTACGTAGAGGTCACATTTTTAATTGTCAGGAAAATCGAAAATAAAATTAACTATTTTTGAATTTGTATTATTTTCTTCCTAACTTACAATATTTTTGCATACAAAATACTAGGTCGGACGCAAGCAATCTAAATATTTCACTTGTATTTGAAAATTCTATCGAGCGTCGAATGAATTTTACCCGTAAAAAGTGTATTAAAAAAACCTTCCTATGCAGTTTTCTTAGGAATCAATTGGCTTAGATAGTCTACTCCGACATGTGTGGACAAAACTCACGCAATGAGAAGCCATACATTTCAAACTTGTGAACTCTTGGTCAGTGCATGTTAAGTTTACGCATGGCAATTAGTGTCTGGAAAACGAAGTATGTTTTATAAATGATTTAATAGGTTAAGATTTGTTCTCATTCCAAAATAAATACAAATACAAACAGTTTATTTTCTTTGTTATTTTATACCGTCAGTTATATTAGATAGATTGTTTTAAAAACGTGTTGTTTAGGAAGATTAATCTTATGCATTTTTTTTATTTCATCTAATAAATTGAATTTACCCATGACACAAATTACTGGTACATGCATGTAAGTACACGTATGCATGTAAGTACACGTAAATGCGGTTTTATTTGTTTATGTGGAAGAGCGCCCAAAATAAATATTCTTCAAACTCTGGAATTTCCCTATTTTACTGTTTAAATCATAGGTCTGCTCAGCAGCTTTTTACCAGCGCCACCTATATGAAAATGAAGGGAGATAACTCTTTCCAAGAATTGAAACAAATTCCATGATTTAATTACCCTTTATCTTTCTATTCATTTATTTGCACAAAAATATAAAAATACTTTTTATTTCCGTATTCCATCATTATTGTAATAATTTATTTAGTTTTCAAAAATTTCCTGGGTTTTAAGGAAATTTTTTCATGATATATGCACTATTTACATCCAATTTATACACAGCACCCTCTTGAGAAACCGGCTGTGTGATAAAAGAAAAATTTTAGCAAAATAATTAGTTATCATTCATTTTAGACCTTAATGAATACATTAAACACAGTTTTAATGATTCCTCAAATTTTCACTGTACCGCCTAACTAGTGCTATCTGCCTGATTCCTACTTGGAATTGTACTTAAATTCATTCATAAAAATAATTTTGAATGAATTTAAATTCATAGATTTAATTATTAATTAAAATTAGATATACACAGTTATTCATTTTTAGAATGTTTTCACTTTATTTCCTTTTGTATAAATTATTTTATATATTACATGTAGCATAATTTCAGGAGATTGTTATCACAAATACCTCGACCATCCACATCATGGACTTACAAGGATTAAGAATTTGTAAAGTGCGGCAGTGTTCTCAATGTCAGGGGGATACCGAATTCTACTGTAAAACATGTAAACATGGCCTATGTTTACAGTGTAAAGAGAAACATGTCATTGATCTCGATACCATATACCATGATGTTGTAATTTACCGAGAGAAATATGAAAATCTAACAAAGCAAGAAACCTGTGAGAGACATCAAAATATGATCTATGAAAAGTACTGTCATTCTTGTGAACTTCCTGTCTGTGCCCAATGCACAAAACACAGAAATCCCCAAAAATTTCCTTTTTTTCTCCAGTGGATGAAATACAGAAAACACAAAATACTAGACCTCAGAACAGCTTATGAAACAAACCGTCAACAAAACAGAGAAATTATCCACAACATCAGAAGTGAGACTCTCTATAACAGCTGTTTTCTCCTATCAAGAATCCAAACTGATGTAAAAGCTTGTCAGACAGAAATCTCCAACCGTGAATCAGAGATGTCAGCAAAATCTCAGAAACTTAAGGACCTCATTGACACTGTGATATGTGATGTTAAAATCAGACATAAAAGTTTAATGATTCAAAGATTACAAGAACAAATCAGAAAAATGAATGGACACCTTGCCAGCATAGAGAACTTTGAATACAGATCTGAACAGTCAGCAAACAGACCAGTCAAATTCCTCTTCTTCCTAAAGAATACTAAAGTCCCAATGATAAAAATACTCCTTATCTTACACAACATGCCCCTTTCTCTCTTACAGAGGAAATCAACATCGAGGATGTGATTAAGCTTCTCAGTGAAATTCAAATCATAGAGAATGGAAAAAGACAAGTGAGAGATGAATGTGTACTGAAACTGATGTCTACACCCGTGTTACATAAATCTATCACAGTGACAGATGTTAATGATGTAAGAAACATTTCTCGTGTGTCATCAGACCGGGTCTGGATGAGTGATGGTAACAATCTCATCTTGACAAACACAGCAGGTGATACACTACATCATCTGACAAATATAGATAGTTATTATGGAGAACACACAGTGAACAATGCAGGTGATCTTATTTATATAGACAAAGATCATAATATAAACAAATTATCGACAGATAACAGATCAAAGTCAATACTGATAAAGAAAACAAAACTATGGAAGCCTCTCTGTGTCTACTGCTCCCGCTCCAATAGAGACCTGCTGGTTGGGATGTGGGATTACAGAAAAACAGGCAAGGTAAACCGTTACAATAACACAGGACAACACATACAGACAATACAACACAACAGCACAGGTCAGAAACTGTATAAATCTCCTGCATATATTACTGAGAACCGTAATGACGATGTTATTGTGTCTGATTTGGACAAAGGTATAGTAGTGACAGAGCATGAGGGAAAATATCGCTTCACGTATGCAGGGCCTCCCTCTGGATCAGGATTAGCACCCTTAGGTATTTGTACAGATGCTCTGTCACACATCCTAGTGTGTGACCGTAACACTCAGACTCTGCATATGATTAACAAGGATGGCTACTTCCTGTCGCTGATTCAGACACGGCAACATCACGGCATATTTTCACCATGGAGCCTGAATTATGATTACAAAACTCACCTTCTCTGGGTCCGATCATGGAACGACAGAGTTTGTGTCTACAGGTACATAAACAGACAGGACTATCTGACAGGTAATTGATAAATAAACACATGTACATAAACTCACAGGATCATCAGATTGGTAACTGTATTTAGATACATGGCAAGGAGAAAATACAAACAGTGATAGATCTCATAAAAATCTACAAACAATAAAAATTGAGAAGAGCATAAAACACGGAGCCCTAGAAATTCCAAGGTGAAATCAGGTGCCTAGTAGGAGTAAGAATCCCTGATTGTACACATACACTTTTATGGCTATAAGTTATGAATCATTTCAGTTTTTCTTTGAAATACCAATTTTTATAAAATAATGAAGTTAAAATGTGTAGTCATCAAAATATTACATGTATTTTTTCATGACAGTTTTATGCCTATAAAAATTTGACCTTTATTTGAAATGTGATATCCGAACAATGCCTCAGATAAAATTGTTTTGATTATGGAAAGAAACTACTAACAATTCTGCATTTCATTCTGTTATATTCATAATAAAATACCTACAAATAACATTGTAATACTTATTTTCAAACAAATATTTCAATGAAATATGGAGATAAAGAACATTTTTTTATTTAATCAATCTCAAAAGTACATTGAACCAATACAAATTTGGAGCATGTAAAAACATCAAAGGTGGGATCAGGTGCCATGGAGGAGTAAGCATCCTCGTCAACCGGTCACACCCGCCGTGTGCTTATTAACATGATCGGCAAAGGGAAAAATATCGTAAAAAATAGAGTGATTACCTACGGCCATATACTATTCAAACACACATAAGGCTATCTGACAGGTCAATCAATGTGCATGTAATTAGTTAATTAGATACTTGTTCAGATCAGGGTTGGGGTCAATTACTTTAAAAAGTAATTAATGAAATTGCAATTACTTTGACTTTTGCTTCAATTAAATTACAATTAAATTACAGGCCTTCTAAGACATGTAATTAATTAAATTACAATTACTTTGCAAAAGTAATTAATTAAATTACAAATTACATTTTTAAATTTTTTTTGAAAATTTTCATAATCCTTGTCAATGAATATACAGAACATCATTCATTTATATATAAGCTCAGCCTCTGCACAAACAGTACAAGAAATAATATGCTATAGGTTTTGAGTATCATTGTTGATTAATTTATAACATTTATTTACAAAACGTTAAAGAATCTCTTAAAGAACTATCCGAGATCAGTTTGATGCAGTTTCCAGGACATAAAACCTACATGTACACAAATTGCATGGCTTATGATATTTGATTAAAGTTGGTATTTTAATAGCATAAAATGAGTCGCAACTGGAACCCCTCAAATTAAAATATTTCCTTTGAAGGTAACTGAACATCCTAAATTGCTATTTATGTTGAACAATTTTACTTTATAAATAAAACTTGTACAGATAGAAAATTCATTCATAAAAATCTGTTTAGATGTTAAAATAATTATCAAAGTTTTTCTTTTCTAAAGCTAGCGGAGCATTTTAAATTGAAATAATTATCTTCATTGGCTTTGTCTTTTAAATCATGGAATGAATATCTCTTTAAAGGAGTTGATTTGTTTTGTTTGCAATATACAGCTGTGATCTGGAGGGCAATTATCTCTTCCCGACAAGAGAGAACTTAATTAATGACACACACCATCTTTTTTCTTTATTATTGATCAAACAACAAAGATTAAAATGTAATAAATGTGTGTTTCATAGCTGAATATACCTAGGAAGGGTGGCTCAAAATTCAGATTTATAAACATAAATAAAAAAATTCAAAATTTACATCATGATTAGAAAGAAACTAGATTATTATTATCAAGCCAATCGTTTAATTATTTGTTTGTAAACATTAACTAAAGATTTTGTTTAATTGAAGGATTGAGGATATATTTTACAACAAAATAAAAAAAAAAAACAGTAAAATGGGGAGGTAGTGGTGACAATACATGTACATGTATATCATGAATGTGTATTTTATAAAGTAATTGAAAAAGTAATTGAAATTACATGGCATTTTTTCAGTGTAAATAATTTAAATAACAATTACAAGTAATTGAAAAAATGTTCAATTACAAATTACTTCCAATTACTTCAAAAATGTAATTAATTACAGTCAATTACAATTACTTTTTTCAATTACCCCATACCTGGTTCAGATGCAGACAGAAAAAGGAATCAGGTGATATTTTGCTATCTGTGCTTGCCTGTTGTTCTACGACATGCATCTTTCATCTGTCGTAAACATTTTTCAGCTTCTCATCTTGAAGCGCTGAACCAATTTCAACCACTTTTGACATATAGCATAGACTGGTGAAAAGGTACAAAAATTATAAATTTCATTATCCCTTCCTATCTTGGGCTTGAGTGAATATATAGTGAATATGCATACTTTCAATGGAAATCTTCTCTGCTCTTGAGTATTTAGCAAACAAAGTACAAAGTTATGGTGGTCAAAGGTACTTCTTCCAAACTTGTGAAATTTGTGTCCCAAGGGTCAGGGCTTCTGGTATTGGAGGGACTCTATTGTATTTGATTAAATAGTGAAAATGCATTATTTCTTTGAAAATCGTTGTCTTTTCTTCTGAATATTAAGCTTTCAAACTAAGCGCATAGGAAAATTGAGCAAGGGTGCTTCTTCCAAAATGATAAAATATGTGGCCCCAGTATTGGATGTTATTAGGAGATGTGACTATATTGATTATTAGATCACCTGAGTCACTCAGGTGATGTATTGCTATGTTTTGATCTGTCGACATGCGTAGTTTGTTGTTTGTAATGATTTAAACATTTTAACCTTTTTCTAATAAACCACGAAACCAAATACAACCATTTTTGGTATATAGTATTTATAGGTAAATGGGGTACAAAAAATTGAATTTAACAGTCCTTGCACACCTGGGGTGTCGGATGGAGCTAAAACATCTTAACTAGTGCTATCTTTATTTTGTTTTCTTTAATTTACTTCTGAACATCAATTTCATCAATAGTGTGTAAGCCACATTTAATGAAAGACTATATATAGACTTTTACCTCGAAATTGTATATATTTATTTCCAAAAATCTGGCACTTTATTTTATTCTTAATGCTTAAGAAAAGTGGCAATTTTGTTGTGTATTAATGAAAAATATTAAAACTATAACCCAGAAAATTCAGAGTAGAAATGTTCGAAAGTAAAACCCACTCACAGTACTGTAAGATCGTGCTCAGTGGTGTGTGCAGAGTTTAACAATTGAACACACCCGGTGAATGGTAAACATTAACAATAACAGAGCTCGTGCCCTGTCTACAAAAACAGTTTACGTTTCACGGGTGTGTTCAATTTGTTAAACACTGTACACATCACAGAGCACGGACTGACAATACTGATGAGTTGGTTTTGCTGTCAAACATTTCTACTCTAAATTTTCTGGATTATAGATGTAATATTTTTCATTAATACGTAGCAAAATAAGGTCAAGGTCAATGTCAGAGTCAAAACAATAGTGTAATCAACATTAATAAACGTAATAGCAATGTAATGAATAGGGAGGGTCAACATCACAAAATCTTGAAATGTTTGAATTGTGATTATCAAAATTAATCTATATGATGTATGATGATAGACAATTATATCTTCAACAGTTTCTTTTTACATGAGCAAAAATGTAAACTGATGAAGGGCAGAAAGGAGAAATTATATAGATTTATATTAATATTATAAAAATACATATTATATAATTTATCATGTGCATCTGTGGTTGTTCCATTCTCCTTTCTGCCTTCCATCTCTAAGATTCCCTAAGCATATTTTTATGGCAAAATACGGGACACATAGTATTGACTTTCATTTTTTTATGGGGGGGGGGGGGAGGGTATATATACATATAATTTAATTTTGTTTGTATTCTAGCCTCTGATTGGTTAATATCCAAAAAGGAACACAAATTATTTCTGTATAACCTGGTTTGGTATGGGGACACACACCCCTGACAACCAGCTGAATCGTCTGTATCCATGCAATCCTCTCATTTCCAGTCCTCGGGATTCATGGAAAATTCCAGATTTAATAAATGTACCTTTAACTTCAAACAGTAACTCGGATCTTACCACATGTAAACAAAAAAACATGGCTGCTAGGACTATGTATCAGTTTTTACCTCCCCTCGCTTCCCATCACTTCCGTTACTAGGGTTGTATTATTGAGCGGCAAATTTGAACTAATAAAAAGCAACGAAATTTTACACCCAGAGTTGTTTAATGATTTTAGAATTAAATTATAAGGAATGACTCTAATTCTTGGCCAAATTATTCGAGTATAACCTGGTTTGGGTCAGTTTACGCTGTTTTATAATCCGCTTCGCGGATTATAAAGCGTAAACTGACCCAAACCAGGTTATCCTCGAATAATTTGGCCAAGAATTAGAGTCATTCCTAAAATATCCTACTGCAAAAAAGGAAGGGGAAGGGAAGTAAGATGACATGGATTGCTTAATGAGTTTGCATCATTTAACCTTGATAAATTATGCAATAAAACTTATTGCTATTTTTTTCAGTCAATACGGTGAAGGAACTCGGTGAATATTGTACTCCACGGGTGGCTAAATCATTGCATTGACTGAAAAACAGCATTAATTGTATAATATTGATAATATCAATATAATAGAGATTGTTCCTGAAATATGATAATGTGGTTGCCAAGCAACTTTTTTTAAATGAATTTCTATTTTAATGCCAGGGAAATGAAAATGAATAATTAGCATGATTTAATTCATTGATAAAGAAACCTAACATTCAACAATGTGTACATTGATAATATCAATAATTATAGGGATTGTTCCTGAACTATTTCGTTGCCATAGCAACTGTCATTTTTTAAGTTATGAATTTCTTTAAATGAAATAACAAAGTTGATTAATTTGATTTCTTAATTGATTTAAAAGAAGAAATATAATAATGCAATGTGGCTCTAGTTATTTTATATTGTTAATAACAAATATTAATTGAATTGTTTCTGAAATATTTGGTTGCCATAGCAACTGTTTTTTTAAGAAATGAATTTCTTTAAATGAAATGACAAAGTTGATTAACTTGATTTATTTATTGATTCAGAAGAAGAAATAAAATAATGCAATGTGGCTCTAGTTATTTTATATTGTTAACATCAATAATTGACACTTTTCAAT